AGCCGGCGACTGGCGCCCACCTCTGCAGAGACAAAGGTTAGGAAAAGAGGGGGTGAGGCTCTGGGAAAGCAGAATGCGGGGGGAAATTCGCCTGGGAAATCAGGAAAAAGGCCGTGAAGGCGAGCGGCGCCTGCACATGACCAGCCGCAGCCAATGACGACCGCAAATAGGTCATAAAAAGGTCTATTACCAAGTTGTAAATTTTCTTCAAACAAAAAGGAATTTACTGCAATTCCTTGCGGATTTTGCACATACAGCTCGCAAGCGCCATGTTTTTTCCTCTCTGGCTTTCTCTCTCCCCCCTCCTCTCCTCTCTTCTTTTCCTCTCCTTCTCCTCCTCCTCCTCTCTCTTTCTTCTCTCCTTCTCTTCCTTCCTACTCCTTTCTCTTTCTCTGCCCCTCGCTCGCCTCCTTCCCCTTTTTCTTGCCTCCTTGATTTCTCGCTCGCTCTCTCACTTTTTCTAGGAACTATTTGTGTTTTTTTTTTATTTGGCTCAAAATCTCTGCGCAGTTGGCCTCCGTGACGGAGGGGGAATGAGTGCACCGTTCCAGCGCTGGGGAGGCAATCCCCACAGAACCCCCCCCATCTGTCCTCCTACGCCAGTCCTTGGCTTCTCCTCCCCTTCTCTCATAAAAAGGCCCGTCCTCTGAAGGGCAGCCAACCACTTTCGGTTTTCTCCCTCTCTTCTCCCTGTGAGCCAACCCCAGGGATCTTGCGAAGAAAACCTGAGCTCTGCAGGCCAAGGAAGTGGGCTCTCCCCGTCACCCCGCTCCAACATAAATTGGGGTTCCTCCCCTTTCCTGGAGTTTCTGTGGTAGAAGAGTCACCAACCAGCTCAAAGGCCGGAAGTGGTTTCAGGTACTTGACAACCTCTCCAAAACACCATGTTGAGTGCCCACTGCCAGGTCTTTATCTCCACAGAAGCATCCTCCTGGACAGTCCAGGTTAGAGGAGAGGTAAGCTTTCTGGGTCCCTTCCAAACCCCTTGCTTTAGGCCCACCTCTAAGAGCAATTTTCCTTTTAATGGAATTTAATTCTAGTCCTTTCCTCTTCCCTAGCCCGCCTCTCCCCCATCCCCCAGTGTTTGTCCATTGAAAAGCCTGCTCAGTGCAACAATACTGAAGAGGAGAGGGGTTCTATTTGTTCAGGAAAAGGAGTGACTCTCTCACATCAGCCTAGAAAAAATATAATTTTGTTTCCTCAAAGGCAAGTGTCACGTTTGTGTGTGTGTTTTCCACAGGAGCTGCTCTGGTGGATTCTCCCTGAACGTGAATGTCCTTGACTGGCCTCCAGCATTTCCCTCATGAGCACAGCTGTCCAGGCTTCACAACCTGCCTGAAAGAGGTGGCCTCCCCCACCCCATCCTTTCAGGAGAGTTTCTTTAGACTTCCAATAATGTGTTTATAGACATTTGCATTGGATATCTGTGTATACATTCTCTGCTATTAACATCTTCATACCCAGTGAGTCCCTAAGTGGATGTGGACTCGAGCAGAAAGTGGCACAGCACCCTCTGGAGCTTGCCATTTGTTATCCCGTGAATAAGTTCCGATGACCTTGGATGTTTTTTATTAAAGGACTTCTGCTGCCATCTGTCAGTAAAAGTCATATTCTTTCTAGAAAAAGTCAATGGGTCCTAACTTTGCTTGAGGAAACTACAGCAGGAGCCAGGTCCACTACAATGCTCTCTCTCTTCCCCTGTCCACCCTCAGATGCCCAAGGATTCAGCAAACACCGGGGAAGCAAAGGACAAGAAGTTTGGATCTGAAATAGCAATACATTCTGCATGGAAGAATATAACAATACTGTTAACTACACAAGCAAAAGGGGCAAGCTGATGGGCACTTACAAGCCCAGAAGATTTTATGTTGGTATACACATGTGAAACTGAGCAAAGAGCTGTTCAATTCCAAAATTTTCTGAGAAACAATCTCAATAGTCAATTTGTCTCATTATCCTCTCCCGTATACCCAAATAAAAGCAGAGCTTTATGGCCCTTCTTTTCAGCTTGGGGAAAGAGGGCTGGGAAGAGACTCTGCACTGAAAAGGCAGCCATATTTGCATTTTTCCCCCTGTGCAGAGGTAAGCGATGTACTGGGCTTTGTGGAACCTCACAAAATGGCATCCCTGAACTGACTTTTTCTCTGGAAACCATTGAGACCCATACCCTCTTTTGTGTGTTTCTGATCCTTGCAAACCAAGACTAAATCACTCAGAAGGCTTGATTCTTTCGTTCAGTATTAACATTGGAGAATCCTATTTTTCTCTAAGTGGTTTACAGACCTCTGTAAGCAGACTGCCTCAGTCTGGGGGCCAAAAAGCGACTGCCCGGGTTTGCATCCTCCAAAGGTTTATGCAAATTTCTGCAGCAAAAATGTTTGCTTGTTGCTTCAACACTTGTATGTTGACACATTTGAGCCAATTAGAAGGACACTAGTGTGCAAGTAACTGCCAGTCTGTCTGCATGCAACACCGTGATGAAATGCAGGGTGTCTAGTCAGTATAAGAAAGAAGATGGCCAGCAAGTGTGTGTGTGTGTGTGTGTGTGTGTGTGTGTGATGTGCAATTCCCCAAGGTCTTTATTTGAAGACAAATTTATGCTCATTCCTAACTACAAAAGGAAACATATTTACCTACATTTACAAGTTTCTGTATCTGTGTATATACGTACAAATCCATTTTCAAATACACTAGTTATCACAACTGTTTTTGTCTATACATGAGCTACAATTTTACTGTGATTTAAAGGGTCAGTAGGGCCAGAAGGTATGAAACTTTCAGACCAGCATAGAATACCAGAGACATAATATTTTTGCTTCCCCTTCCTTCCTGAATTTCCACACCTGCCCATGCACTGGAGTCCCCACCTGACATTCTTGCCAATATCATTTTAGGGGCTCTAAAAGTGATATTTTGGGAGCATCCTTCAGCGGAGACAGTGAGTTTTGCTAATATACATGAGTCCCTTAAATCCAGGGCAGCGGGAGGTTAGCCAGCAGCAGTCTCTAGAGGTTTTACACCGGAGGGTGATCCCTAGGCGTGCCCTTGGCCCTTGGCATCCTTGCTCTGTACCAGCCGGCAGCAGAGTTTCAGGCAGCACACAGAGCAAAACATTCCCAAATCCAGCATGTGCATTTGCAGCTGCCTACTGGAGTGCAAATGTTTAAGTTCCAAGTCACGTGTGCCTTAAAATTGTCTTTCCTGATTCAGGTTACTGAATGTCACAGTCATGGCCTCTTACTAGGGTAGAAAGACAGGTGGTGCTCCCCGTCCCCACCCCAGCCAGTGCCAACATTTCGGCAGTCCATGAACGCCCAGGCAAAAAGCCCAACAATACGCAAAAGGGTGACCTTGGCCCCAAACTAAAGGATTCCTTTTTCTTACCTGTGTAATAAAAGCCACTCTGGAAATGAAAATGTGCCTCTTTGAAAATAAATGTAGCTAGAAAAAGTAGAGAGCTCTTTAATGTCTACCTATCAAAGGTACTTTCTCTCTTTCAGGGATGAATATTACTTTGAGTTCTTCCTCTTTTCTTCTTCTCCTCTTCCTCCTCCCTTTCCTTCCATAAAAAAATGGCAGCTGCAGGAGCAGCCTCCAATGGAAAATGGATATCTTGTTAATAACAGATGCCAAGTCCTAGCATCAATGCCGGCTCAGTGGAATAAGCTGTGATGTAACTGGACTCTGGGTTGTCCACCACTGGGCCTACAACTTTGATAGGTTCAAAGCTTTGCAGTATCTTGGCAAGATTATTTAAAGCAAGATGAAACAAGGATAGCCTAACCAGCCCTCTCTGGAAGGCACTCCCCCCGCCACCCCCGCAGCGTGGGATGTGGATAACCCCACCACTTTCTTATCAAACAGAAGCCCCGAGTGAGTTTTTGCCTTCGTGTGAGCCCAGGCGATTGTTAGTGACTTAAGGAAAAGGGTATTTGCGGCGCTCAAAGACACTAGCTCTAGAAAGAGATTCATTTCTTTATTAAGGAGCTAGCTATGTTCTGGAGCGGTTGTTTACATTCAGATTTTGCTGCATTTGCTCTCAGGGTCTGTTTCAGATAGGTGAGGCCATCACTTTCCTGAAGAACAGCAGAGGACGTACCAACCGACATCTGAGACACGCACAGCAAGTTAGCTTAAAAGGAGTGTGCGATCAGAGCAAAGGCAATACAAATAATATGGCATCTATTGAAAAATCAGACTCACAGCCGCGGCCCCAGCATAGAGAACTAGCGATTTCAGGCAATTACAAGCTCGGTTCAAAACGAAAGCAAGATGAGAAATGAGACACATTCGACAAGTCAACTCGCCAGAGTGAAAAGTTACTGAGTGAAAATGTTATCATTAATTTTTCAAGTATTCATTCACTCTAGATTATTTAACTGCCATAATTTGTACAAACTATAGAAAAATGATTTAAATGTCAACTTTGACATTGTCTTGAAACTTTTGTCACTGGCCCAATCTTTTCCTCAAGTTTAAGGAAGCTGCAGAGCCGAGACTACATATGGCACTCTTCAGCTAACATGTGCTTTTCAAATATTTGGCCCAGACTTTTCCCCGAGATAGTACATTTAGGAAATTATCAAAAAAAATCTTTTAGGAGTAAACAAAAGGCACCTGAACCATTCGTTATAAAAGCAGAAAGAAAAAAAACCATAAATAATACATCGTAATCAAATAATATAAAGTAAATATTCTGCAGGCATAATTTTTTAAAAAATTAATAGACTTCATTTAATTTACTCACCATAAAGAAAAAAATCTAAAATGTTCAAGTGCACTTGTTTGATTAATAAAGCATTTTGCAATTACTTAGTGCTAATCATTAGGAAGTTTACGTTGTTGAGGCAAATCACCAACTCAGACATTAAAAACCATTATAAAAATATAGCTACAAGGTCAGTATCAAATTACTCTTTCTTAGGATAGTATCTTTTACATGATACTAGAAACTTTTTTCAAACACCCAAATCCTTCTCAAAGCGCAGAAACCTCAAGAGCAGTGACATGAAGGTAGCTTGAAACATATGTAAGGTCCTTTTCAACAGAGAAAATAGGTGGTGTCCACCAGCACATGTTGATCATTACTTTTAATAGTCTGTGGTAAAATTTTAAAGGTAGAAGTTAATTTGTCGGGCCTTCGGTTCTGTCTTCCTCCAGCTCTTGGGATTCCTTTTTGGTTTCCCCGTCCTTCACCTCCTGCCGGGACACGGGAAATTTGTCCTTGTTGTTCTCTTTTTTCCATTTCATTCTCCTGTTCTGAAACCAAATTTTTACCTGTCGCTCGGTGAGGGCTAGGGCGTGGGAAACCTCGATTCTTCTTTTCCTGGTCAGATAAGGGTTAAAAAGGAATTCCTTTTCCAGCTCTAGGGTTTGGAAGCGACTGTAGGTTTGTCTTCCTCTTCTTCTACCAGGAGCTGCTGATTAAAACAACAAAAAGGTGGAAATAAACGTTTTAAAAATGCAATGGTGTCCCTGCATATTGCTCGAGGTTTGTTGAATGGGGTCTACGGGGTGAAATATACACAGTGCTCTTTAGCTCAGATATATATAGGGTGTGCAGGCAAGAGGGGCAGAGAGAAGGTCTTGACAATTATTCTGTCCCCATCATCTTTACATGGCTTCTACTTTAAAAAAAAAAATCTGTATTACTTTATGAATAAGAGCCACTGTGGCTACACAAGAAGGAAGAGGAGGGGGAGAGGGAGAGGGAAGGGGAATTTTAAAGCTAGAACGTGAGATGAAAGCAGATTCTTCCCCTCTCCCCTCTGTTAAAAAAAAAAGTGCATCCCAACCTTGTGGTCTCATCCAGGGAAACATTTGAGAAGGAGACGAGCTCTGATTTAAGTGGTCTGGGTCCTCGCCAATATTACCACTGGACGATTTACAGTCAGGATATTGTACCAGCTCGGCCTCTTGCTGGGTCGTAAAAATCGGCTGTCTCTGTAAGTTATCGTATCCGTAAAACTTCGCGGGCTCCCCGTGACAGGCAATCCCGCCGCAGGGGGGAGGCGGCGGCGGAGGCGGAGGATGCGGAGGAGGAGGGGGGGCGGCCTGGTAGGCAGCGGCCGGGCTGCCCCCGCCGGGGTGGAAGTAGTC